GTGTTTGCGTACAGCCGCCATGGTGACAGCATACTCAATCCGGTGCTCCATTGGGATTAGATCCCTGTTCTTGAGATCGAAGTAAAAGTTCGGTTCCTCTCCTAATATCATACAGCCAATTACAGGACATGTGTTGACAATAGTAAGACATGGTGCCCCAGAAGAGCCTTGTTCTTGATTAAAGGAAAGTGGGACAAAACTGTCGTCATCCAGTTTCTGGTAGGCTGTTCGAATCTTCCCGCAATTGGTCGACGGTCCCAAGTCTGTTTCCAATTGACTTTTTATTTTAGTGATATGCGCCTTCGCATCTTTTATTCTTGGCGAACCTCGAGGGATAATTCCTATATTAAATTCATACATTTCGAATGTGTTGTGCGGGTTACCATATCCAATGACATGAAAAGAACTAATCTTTCCCATGAAAGTCTCCACTGGAATCTGAAAAGGCTTTGGGATTGTTTGAGACTGGACTCGTTTTCTTAGTTTAAGAATTGCGTAATCCAACAGTTTGTCAGAAGCAACAATGTATGGTTCTACGCCAAACTGCATGTCATTCTGGTTCCGTAAAAAGGAGACGTTGATGTGTGAGAAATTCTGCTTGTCGGGTGTCAAACCATTTGCCGTCATCACCTCTGAGGTAAAATTAAATAGTTATATCGAATAACGAAATAAGAAAAAATGACATTCCTATATGAAATGATGTTCGTTTAAGTCGGATCATTCAAATGATAACTTATTTTATGTAGAAATTACGGTAAGATAGTTTATATAAACTGTGCTGCATCACTAGATATTCATATTTACTTAATATAAATTTTACACACAAAAACAATAACAACAGAGGAATTGTTTGGTTATTGTATGGTATGGTACAGAAATTACGGTGTGATGACCACATGTTAATACAAATATGTACAAGGACTATTGCAAAGGTTATATCAATGTTTTGATCCTAATACACAACGGTTAGTTTCCTGTCGCTATAAAGTATCCCAAAGCCTGTTATTTATCGGCTAGAATCCGTTACCCTTGATATTTTACTGTTTTATTTCAATGCCTTTACATACCAATGAATCCCATGACAGCGTGCCGTGCCGTCATCACATACTGTGGGCCAACACGGAATGCTGTGGCTGTCTGGCCATTGGTCGTCTCCATTAGACCAACGGATGTTCCCCAATCAAGCATCATTTCTAGGTCAAATCCCGTCATACCGGGCATGTTACGTTTGTAAGTGTTAGTTTCTATACATTCACCTACAAATCGTAAATAACCAATGGATATAATATTGGTAATTACACCAAATAACATCTTTCTCACATTTAACTGTCGAGCCGGACACCGTTCCCTGGCGACATTTGTACCATAAGGTCATTTCTTGACACGGTGTCCAAACTACACACAGTGATCTACGTGATAGGTGTATAGTTGTGCCTGCAGACAAAGTATCTAATCACTTAATCTTTGTAAACACCATTACATTCTGGCTTGCAGGCTTGCTGGATAGCCAAGGAAACCTTACCTATATATTTTTTGCAATTTTTCGAAAGTAGCAGATCTAATATATCACGTTTCTTTATCACGATCTTTCCGATTTACCACCAATGATATTGATACAGGCCTGTCTTGTTTTAAGTGGATTTCGAAACCTCACATTAATCCTTATAAACAACGTTCTATCGCTGCCTCTTTTAGATGCTCAACTAAGAAATTATCAAAAATATCCACATACCATTCTCAGTAACATTAAATCAGGGCTGTACTTGTAATTTGACACTGTTTACTCAAGAAGTGGAATAAATGGTACGTTATATATAATATGTATATTGATTTTGAAGAATTCAAAAGATCTTTTGATCAATATCGAACATCCTGTTCGCAAAAAAGTTTTTCTATCAAAACCTTTGACTTTTTGACCCTTTACACCACCATACCATACTACTGAACAAATTGAAGTAACGCCTTCGTCTTTTATGAATTTATTGATACGCTTACCAGGACTGGTAAAAAACTTAACCAAGTCCTTCAATTCCAAATTCAAACATATATCGACGATGTGCATTCTTTATATCTTTGTATCAAATCCAGTACTAATTTCTTGAGTACGTATTAGATACCCATTGTGCAAATTGTCCAGTATATATAGGATCTTAAATGAGTTTTCATTTCATATGAGATTTTATGAAACGAGTCTTAGAAGTTTTATTTTTGCGAGCCTTCGAGAGCAGAAATTAAAACTTCGAGACGAATTTTATAAAAGCTCATATGAAATGAAAACTTTAAGATACTTTTTATCACATAACTCAGAAAACTTACATTTTGACAGGTTTTAAAGCCAAAATGTAGTGGGCTTAATCAAACGGAGACAGCCATTTTGTTGCGCCATTCACAATTTATGACCTCACGTCATTTACCATATTATGACGTCACAATCGATTTCTGACTGACACTGCCAATGAAAAAAAACGCTCATATGTAAAAATATTACACGAGCAAATTCACTGGATAACAGGCCGATTATGTGATAAAACTGAATGAAGACTAATTATGTCACAGTCTTGCGCCTAAACACACAAATGCTATCCATTCCTTATATATACGCACCTTCAAGGTGAAAAGGGCTGATCAGTTGAGAGTTTTGTCTATTTGGCTGTCTGTTTTCTAAACGATGACCTGTTTTTGGGAAAAATAAAAACAATTGTATTGGATAGGCTGTATCTCATGGCCTGTCGAACGTTGCATTATATGAACATTTTGTGTTTTGTGTTCAAATCTTGTGATTTGTATAAAAAAAGTGGTCAGCTTGGAGATCATCCCGAGATATGAGGGGGTAAACTGAAAAATCACAAATGGTCTCTATTTGACAAAACTACATGTTCTGTTTTGAAACTTTCTTCATAATTTTGATGTATTGTTTATGGTTTAGCTGCAAATAATAGAAAATGCTTAAAAAGATGAATAGTAGGTCACTGTGACCTTGTTATATATCGGCTTAGTTATGTCAACAATTTGTCAATTTTTTGTGCCTAAAATCATATCAGAACCCTGCAATTATCTTACCATAATTTAATTTATACGTATCTTAATTAAATCTCAACAAATGTAATTGAACACACACCTCAAATTAAATGTTTTTTTTCCCCATCATTTTTAAATAATAGACTTCTAAGAATTGAAAGAAATATTGAAACGACCCTCTAATAAAAATGATATCTATAGCCTCATGAATCTCACTTAAATACAATATATATTTATGAGTTGGATATGCATAGGTCTATATGGCAATTCATGAAATGATTTACACAAAATGTGTATGGATCAAACCGATGTAGAGGTCCATAAGCATTCTGGCTAGCACTTACATATGGCGCCGGATCATTATATCAAATTGTAATACTCCTATGTGCCCAATTGTTTACCCTATGCAAACTCTATGCAAGTTATAACTATCCAGAAAAATACATGTTAAAACAACATCAATATTTAGTCGACCTTGAGAAACTGGTTTAATTTTTCTAACTGCTGTAGGTGGAATTTGAATATTAACCGTCGTACATGGAAAAACTTGTATGGATTAATAATGTGACCTGTGAAGTGGGCACAAATGACACTATAATCTTTTAGAATGGACTACCAAAATTATTTGTCCAAGACAAAGCGAATATACTGAAAGAAATATCAGCAATGTACATTTATTATCGGTATCTGATATTTTCCTGAGTTTAAGATATCTATATTTAGATTGTAAACAAAACATTGCATCTTACAACCAATCAAACGTTCTCATGTTCTCTCTAACATTCACTTCGACCATAAAGATATTCAGAGAATCCAGAAAACAGTGCTACATAATCATTTCGAAAATATGTCTCACGTCATTTTATGCGATTTAACTTTTAACTGTAACCTTATCTTCACTGTTTTTATATGGCAGATTTGTTTTATATTTTCCCGCGTAGCATATCATCACATCTTAGTTAAATACGGACAATATTCATTCTAGAATTCAGTACTACTGCAACTTGGCAGTGTTTACACACGCATAAATGAATGTTTTACACGACAGTATGAAAAATGACGAGAAAGATAAACGATATTATTTTAGATATTATCATCACTGTACCAAAATCAGGACACATTTTAGATAATTATCAATACTTTTTATACCATACCATCAGTTCCAAAAATGTTTGTTCTTTTTTGATAAATATCCACTGGCCCTTACACCGACGTTGCTGTACACTGAAAGGGACACTTCGATATTTTGGCAAATATTTTGACATAAACTATTAATATCGGCAGATAAGTATGCATAGTTGAATTATTTAAGAGTCAACGAGGGATCTGATTAAATTTGTTCTCCAAACTAGCATTGGTTTAGATAAAATAGACTTTTGAAAATGATATCCAAACAAATACCGTGTCACGGCATGTAAATCAGGAAAGTTTTGTTTTGGTAAATATTCTTACCTTTAAATTGTCCATGTAAAGATAATCCGCAACCAATAAAGCTTATCTCCAGTTAAATTGTCATTAAAGTATTGTCAAATGAAAACTGTCTGCATAAAAGCACTTCTTTGCATTGCATGACAGTTTCTTTGGCTTTTTCCCCACAAGTGTCCCGTTTTGGGCACTGTCCCGATTTGGGTACAGTGACGTTATATATCAAGCTTTTTAAGTAGAGGATACGCGATATGTGAACAATGACTTGCCAGAAGTGAGCAGACTTAGCGAAATAACGGTTTCCGTATGCCTGCATTCCGGTTTACCAAATACTTGTTGCCATTTCTTAAAACTTAAAATGCGCAGGCTCAGTGAAAGCTTTGTTAAAGAGAGGAAAATAAAATGACGACCTTCCTATTTTGTGTCATTTTGATGAAGAAATATACGTTCTCAATTTGACTATAGAATCGTATTGCATGAGTGTTGTTAGTATTCTAATATCAGATTTATCACTACTGTATTGTTTTCGATAGAAAAATATAATGTAACGAAACACTACATTACCTTCATACATAGCGCCTTTTTTCTTCTTACTTAACTTCTTCTTCAATGGAGGAACATCTAAAAAATGCATAATCATTATGTTAGATATGAATTATTTGTTATCAGAATCAATCGTACCGTTTATTGTTTATTATAGTACACTTTTTATGTGCTTAATTTATTGAGGGCAATTGAATAAATTCTGTCAACTGTGTTGGTAATATATTTGACGTTTATAGTTTGATCTTTCTAGTACAATCCTTCGAAGTATTCTCCCTTAGCAGAAAGCACATTCGCCCTCGCGTTATCCATGAGGTTAATGCTGCACAGAAGTCTCCTCTTGGTATACTGGCGAGACACTCGAAGATTGCATTAACCAGAGCACTTCTAGAGGCATACAGATTCCCAGAGATAATTTTCTTTAGTTAGGAAAACAAGAGTATTTGAACAGGTTAACGGGGTGGTTAGGTGGTCAATATGTACTACCTTCTCTTACTTCAAAAATACATGTACGCTATTTCTTTTGAAGGTTAAAAGCATTGTCGTGAATTAGCTGGATGCCATTCAACCCTTTACTTAGAATCTGTTCTTTAAATGCTTTTGCAATCTGCCAAGGCGCTAAACTATTTCATTGCCAATTCGTATGGGCGTTTTGTGGTGACAGAATCTATCGAATTGCCCTCGTATTCAGGTTTTGTTTTATTTGATGACGTCACGGGCTAATTTTAGCCATTACAACTGTTATATTTTTAATATACAGTAAGTAATTACATTTTGCTTGCTTCATTATGATCACTGTATGACAGCACACTCGTCAAACTCAATATGTATACTAAATATATATAATTGGTATGAAAACCATGACAGTCTATCTTTTTGAATGGCACAGTTTTAGTTACGTTTGCGATAAAAGTTACTGTATCGTATATAACGCCTATAACAGAACGTTTACAGCATATCTGCATAACTGAAACAAGAGGACTAGAGGGCCTGTACCAATCACATGGATATATTTGAATTACTTGATATGAGGTAAAAATACAGCACTCCATGTTAAGTACTGTTTGTACAGATGAAATTTCAGAAAGATCTATCCAGTATTTTTGGCGATATAGCGAGAACAAACTTCATATTTCATCATTTCATCACCTAAAATCATATCAGAACCCTACATTTATCTTACCATAATTGAATTTATACGCATCTGAATCAAATCTCAAAAAATGTTATTAAACACACATTTCAATTTAAATGATTTTTAAAATGATTTTTTAACAAAAAATAACATTTCTCAACAAATTTACCGACAAAGCATAATTACAATTTACCAATAACATGAAAGATTGTCATAAAAATCACCGTTGAACCCCCCCCCCCCCCCAAAAAAATACCTACCTATTTCTTACATGCCATTTTTTTCTTATTCATAAAAGACACATGCTAGACTTTGTAATCATCAATTAATGTAATTTTTGCAAGGTAAACTAAAATAAAAGATGTAAGACTTGGTGTACAGTATGGGGGAAACGATGTCTGAGATACGTGAGGTGAAATTATTCAAGTTTTTACACGAAAACGAAAAAACTGGCAATATGAAACACAGAAAAATAAATTAAGTTTATTTCATGGACCTCTATTAAAGTGATTTCTGTACTGTACCGAGAATAGACTTCTAAGAATTGAAAGAAAAATTGAAACGACCCTCTAATAAAAATGATATCTATAGCCTCATGAATCTCACTTAAATACAATATATGTCTATCTCATTGCAACAACTCTACAAATTGGGAGTTTATTAGATCTTCTGACAGTCAATGTTCAGACAAACATTTATGAGTTGGATATGCATAGGTCTATATGGCAATTCATGAATTGATTTACACAAAATGTGTATGGATCAAACCGATGGCTAACACTTACATATGGCGCCGGATCGATATCTTAAATTGTAATACTCCTATGTGCCCATTTGTTAACCCTGTGGAAACTCTATGCAAGTTATAACTATCTAGAAATAAATGTTAAAATAACTTCAATATTTAGTCGAACTTGAGAAACTGGTTTATTTTTCTAACTGCTGTAGGTGGAATTTGAATATTAACCGTCGTACTTGGAAAATCTTTTATGGATTAATAATATGATTTGTGAAGTGGGCACAAATGACACTATAAACTATTAGAATGGGCTACCAAAATTAATTTGTCCAAGACAAAGTGAATACAATGAAAGAAATGTCAGCAATGTACCTTCATTATCAGTATCTGATATTTTCCTGAGTTTAAGAGATTTATATTTAGATTGTAAACAAAACATTGCATCTTAGAACCAAACAAACGTTCTCATGTTCTCTCCAACATTCACTTCGACCATAAAGATATTCAGAGAATCCAGAAAACAGTGCTACATGATCATTTCGAAAATATGTCTCACGTCATTTTATGCGATTTAACTTTTAACTGTAACCTTGTGTTCACTGTTTTTATATGACAATTTGGTTTTATATTTTCCCGCGTAGCATATCATCACATCTTAGTTAAATACGGACAGTATTTATTCTAGAATTCGGTACTACTGCAACTTGGTAGTGTTTACACACGCATAAATGAATGTTTTACACGACAGTATGAAAAATGACGAGAAAGATAAACGATATTATTTTAGATATTATCATCACTGTACCAAAATCAGGACACATTTTAGATAATTATCAATACATTTTATACCATACCATCAGTTCCAAAAATGTTTGTTCTTTTTTGATAAATATCCACTGGCCCTTACACCGAAGTTGCTGTACACTGAAAGGGACACTTCGATATTTTGGCAAATATTTTGACATAAACTATTAATATCGGCAGATAAGTATGCATAGTTGAATCATTTAGGAGTCAACGAGGGTTCTGATTAAATTTGTTCTCCAAACTAGCATTGGTTCAGATAAAATAGACTTTTGAAAATGATATCCAAACAAATACCGTGTCACGGCATGTAAATCAGGAAAGTTTTGTTTTGGTAAATATTCTTACCTTTAAATTGTCCATGTAAAGATAATCCGCAACCAATAAAGCTTAACTACAGTTAAATTGTCATCAAAGTATTGTCAAATGAAAACTGTCTACATAAAAGCACTTCTTTGCATTGCATGACAGTTTCTTTGGCTTTTTCCCCACAAGTGTCCCGTTTTGGGCACTGTCCCGATTTGGGTACAGTGACGTTATATATCAAGCTTTTTAAGTAGAGGATACGCGATATGTGAACAATGACTTGCCAGAAGTGAGCAGACTTAGCGAAATAACGGTTTCCGTATGCCTGCATTCCGGTTTACCAAATACTTGTTGCCATTTCTTAAAACTTAAAATGCGCAGGCTCAGTGAAAGCTTTGTTAAAGAGAGGAAAATAAAATGACGACCTTCCTATTTTGTGTCATTTTGATGAAGAAATATACGTTCTCAATTTGACTATAGAATCGTATTGCATGAGTGTTGTTAGTATTCTAATATCAGATTTATCACTACTGTATTGTTTTCGATAGAAAAATATAATGTAACGAAACACTACATTACCTTCATACATAGCGCCTTTTTTCTTCTTACTTAACTTCTTCTTCAATGGAGGAACATCTAAAAAATGCATAATCATTATGTTAGATATGAATTATTTGTTATCAGAATCAATCGTACCGTTTATTGTTTATTATAGTACACTTTTTATGTGCTTAATTTATTGAGGGCAATTGAATAAATTCTGTCAACTGTGTTGGTAATATATTTGACGTTTATAGTTTGATCTTTCTAGTACAATCCTTCGAAGTATTCTCCCTTAGCAGAAAGCACATTCGCCCTCGCGTTATCCATGAGGTTAATGCTGCACAGAAGTCTCCTCTTGGTATACTGGCGAGACACTCGAAGATTGCATTAACCAGAGCACTTCTAGAGGCATACAGATTCCCAGAGATAATTTTCTTTAGTTAGGAAAACAAGAGTATTTGAACAGGTTAACGGGGTGGTTAGGTGGTCAATATGTACTACCTTCTCTTACTTCAAAAATACATGTACGCTATTTTTTTTGAAGGTTAAAAGCATTGTCGTGAATTAGCTGGATGCCATTCAACCCTTTACTTAGAATCTGTTCTTTAAATGCTTTTGCAATCTGCCAAGGCGCTAAACTATTTCATTGCCAATTCGTATGGGCGTTTTGTGGTGACATAATCTATCGAATTGCCCTCGTATTCAGTTTTTGTTTTATTTTGATGACGTCACGGGCTAATTTTAGCCATTACAACTGTTATATTTTTAATATACAGTAAGTAATTACATTTTGCTTGCTTCATTATGATCACTGTATGACAGCACACTCGTCAAACTCAATATGTATACTAAATATATATAATTGGTATGAAAACCATGACAGTCTATCTTTTTGAATGGCACAGTTTTAGTTACGTTTGCGATAAAAGTTACTGTATCGTATATAACGCCTATAACAGAACGTTTACAGCATATCTGCATAACTGAAACAAGAGGACTAGAGGGCCTGTACCAATCACATGGATATATTTGAATTACTTGATATGAGGTAAAAATACAGCACTCCATGGTAGGTACTGTTTGTACAGATGAAATTTCAGAAAGATCTATCCAGTATTTTTGGCGATATAGCGAGAACAAACTTCATATTTCATCACTTCATCACCTAAAATCATATCAGAACCCTACATTTATCTTACCATAATTGAATTTATACGCATCTGAATCAAATCTTATTTTTTTTTTTATTAAACACACATCTCAATTTATATGTTTTTTTTTTTTTTTTTTTTAATAAAAAATAACATTTCTTAACAAATTACTCGACAAAGCATAATTACAATTTACCAAAAACATGAAAGATTGTCATAAAAATCACCGTTGAACCCCCCCCCCCTCCCCCCCCCAAAAAAATACCTACCTTTTTTTCTTACATGCCATTTTTTTCTAATTCATAAAAGACACATGCTAGACTTTGTAATCATCAATTAATGTAATTTTTGCAAGGTACACTAAAATAAAAGATGTAAGACTTGGTGTACAGTATGGGGGAAACGATGTCTGATTTACGTGAGGTGAAATTATTCAAGTTTTTACACGAAAACGAAAAAAATGGCAATTTGAAACACAGAAAAATAAATTAAGTTTATTTCATGGACCTCTATTAAAGTGATTTCTGTACTGTACCGAGAATAGACTTCTAAAATTGAAAGAAAAATTGAAACGACCCTCTAATAAAAATGATATCTATAGCCTCATGAATCTCACTTAAATACAATATATGTCTATCTCATTGCAACAACTCTACAAATTGGGAGTTTATTAGATCTTCTGACAGTCAATGTTCAGACAAACATTTATGAGTTGGATATGCATAGGTCTATATGGCAATTCATGAATTGATTTACACAAAATGTGTATGGATCAAACCGATGCAGAGGCCTATAAGCATTCTGGCTAATACTTATATATGGCGCCGGATCGATATCTTAAATTGTAATACTCCTATGCGCCCATTTCTTAACCATGTGGAAACTCTATGCAAGTTATAACTATCCAGAAATAAATATTAAAATAACTTCAATATTTAGTCGACCTTGAGAAACTGGTTTATTTTTCTAACTGCTGCAGGTGGAATTTGAATATTAACCGTCGTACTTGGAAAAACTTTTATGGATTAATAATATGATTTGTGAAGTGGGCACAAATGACACTATAAACTATTAGAATGGGCTACCAAAATTAATTTGTCCAAGACAAAGTGAATACAATGAAAGAAATGTCAGCAATGTACATTCATTATCAGTATCTGATATTTTCCTGAGTTTAAGAGATCTATATTTAGATTGTAAACAAAACATTGCATCTTAGAACCAAACAAACGTTCTCATGTTCTCTCCAACATTCACTTCGACCATAAAGATATTCAGAGAATCCAGAAAACAGTGCTACATGATCATTTCGAAAATATGTCTCACGTCATTTTATGCGATTTAACTTTTAACTGTAACCTTGTCTTCACTGTTTTTATATGGCAGATTTGTTTTATATTTTCCCGCGTAGCATATCATCACATCTTAGTTAGATACGGACAATATTCATTCTAGATTTCTGTACTACTGCAACTTGGCAGTGTTTACACACGCATAGATGAATGTTTTACACGACAGTATGAAAAATGACGAGAAAGATAAACGATATTATTTTAAAAATTATCATCACTGTACCAAAATCGGGACACATTTTAGATAATTAACAATACTTTTTATACCATACTATCAGTTCCAAAAATGTTTGTTCTTTTTTGATATCCACTGGCCCTTACACCCACGTTTCTGTACACTGAAAGGGACACTTCGATATTTTGGCAAATATATTGACATAAACGATCAATATCGTCAGAAAAGTATGCATAGTTGAATTATATAAGAGTCAATGAGGGTTCTGATTAAATTTGTTCTCCAAACTAGCATTGGTTTGGATAAAATAGACTTTTGAAAATGATATCCAAATAAATACCGTCTCACGGCACGTAAATCAGGAAGGTTTTGTTTTGGTAAATATTCTTATTTTTGAATTGTCCATGTAAAGATAATGCGCAAACAATAAAGCTTAACTACAGTTAAATTGTCATTATAGTATTGTCTAATGAAAACTGTCCACATAAAAGCACTTCTCTGCATTGCATGACAGTTTCTTTGGCTGTTTCCCCACAAGTGTCCCGATTTGGGCACTGTCCCGATTTGGGTACAGTGACGTTATATATCAAGCTTTTTAAGTAGAGGATACGCGATATGTGAATAATGACTCGCCAAAAGTGAGCAGACTTAGCGAGAAAATATTTGGACTCCAAACAACGAAAGTTTCATTGCATTCGAAAACCATAAACAGTTTCCGTATGCCTGCATTCCGGTTTACCAAATACTTGTTGCCATTTCATAAAACTTAAAATTCACAGGCACAGTGAAAGCTTTGTTAAAAAGAGGAAAATAAATTGACGACCTTTCCTATTTTGTGTCATTCTGATTAAGAAATATACATTCTCAATTTGACTAAAAAATCGTATTGCATGAGTGTTGTTAGTATTTTAATATCAGATTTATCACTACTGTAAAGTTTTTTGTAGTAGACAGAAAAAATGACATAACGAAACACTACAGTTACCTTCATATAGAGCGTCTCTTTTCTTCTTCTTTGAAACTGAAAATGCATAATCATTATGTTAGATATGAAATACTTATTATCTAGGGGGGACTAGACCCATTTGGCTTCACCCTACTGCTCGCAGGGGGCCACACCCACAGTTTATACAAAACTGAGTCCCCTTGCCAATAGGATGCTTCAGATCAAGAATGATAAAGTTTTATTATCCCCACGCTAGGAGAAAGATTTTAAAAGTTTTACCTCTTTTCCTCCTATTGAGCCCCCGTTCTCTGGGCGGTCACACCCACCGTTTAAACAAATTTTAGTGACTTTGGCTTAAGGATGTTACAGACCAAATTGGGATGAAATCCCTTAATCCCTATGGTAGAAGAATATTTTTAAAGGATTACCTCTATTTGCCTTATTCGGCCCCACCCCTCTGCCCCAATGGAGCCACACCCACCGTTTATACAAAATTGAGTCCCCTTGGACCAAGGACACTCCAGACTAAATGAGGATAAAATTCCTTAATCGCTATGGTAGAAAGGGTTTTAAAGGTTTTACCTCTATTTTCCCTAGTGGGCACCGCTCCTTTTCCCCCACGGGTGTCACACCCACCCTTTATACAAAATTGAGTGCCGCTTGCTCAAGGATGCTCCAGACCAAATTCAGTTTAAATCCACTAAGCCGTTCAAGTTTGTAGCGTTTTAAAGGAAAAGTTGGACGACGGACGCTGCGCCATGGCATAAGCGCACTTGTCCCCCCCCCCCCCTTCCCGGCAGGTGAGCTAAAAACCTCTACTTAAACATGTACATATTTTTGCGTTATTGAGCTTCAAAGACCTTTGTTACTAAAGCTGAGAATATGAATCTTACAAGTACATGTTAGTAGTGTATGTTAACTTTGTTTTGGTTATTGATGATGTTATCATGTCTATATAACTGCTAGTCATCTTTTGCTAGTAAATCTGCTCCATTTTACCTGTGGTGTGGATGTCCCTGTAAATCAACTGTTTATGGTGATGGTTGATATATCACTCAGATGAGGACTACTAACCAGAGGCTATGCCTTACAGAAGTGGTAAAATGCATATTTATTTATTCTTAAATAACTTATTTTTAATGCATACAAATAGTTCTAAAACCTTTTAGGCTGATTGTATGGATGTTGAATTTGATCAATGTCCAAACCAAAACACAACCATAAGTCACACTTTTGTATCATTCACATGGTTTGGCGTATACAGCCTTCGATTTCGTTCATGATATATTACAAAGTTTAGGGAAATTATATGTATCAAAAGCGCAAGTCTTAAAGTTTGAAGACGAATTTTCAAACCATGCATGATAATGTATTTATTTCGATGTATTCAAAAATAATAGAGCCATTCTGAGTCAGGTTACTGAATACAGCTGTTACATTTAATTTAATGAAAATAACCGTATGGAGTATGGTTTAATATAGATTTCACCATCAACATATGGCAAAAAGGTGTACATTAACATTTCCAGTCCATTAGTTTATTCATCGTGGTATGTATGAAAGCTTTGACTATGATTACGGTTTTAATTTACGGATACGTACTGATTCCATGTAACATCATATTTAATATTAAATAATAATATCTAAGCATGAAAATAAGCATGTATTTCCACATCATCATATGCATAATTGTGGGTATATATTTTATGAAATTGAGATTTGATATCGTTTTGGTATTAAAAAATATATTTGTTTTTTTTTTCGTTTTTTCCATCAACCTCATAAATGTTGCTCTTAGCTGAGCTTGCAAGGTTTTAAGCGGGACGAGTTCGACTTTTCGATCATAAATTTCCCCTTAAAAATCTCAGCTTCCCTATCTATGACGTTCGGATGTCGCAGTTGATTCGGTAGTCAAGAGTTTGCTCCGAATATCATGACTTCCGTGACAGCTGTTGACTCCTGACGGACAAACTTACAACACGGGGTTTCCAAAGATGCAGGTAGATGAATAATATGAAGAAGTGTTATGGTCGCCAGCATGACCTCATGGGAAATTATAATATTTCTTTTTGTGAGTGAAGGTCTGTGTTTTTTTTATTATGCTCACAGGTGTCTTGTGGTTTTGTTGTCACTTCACGAGTTCTTCATTTCAGAACGTGACATTACTTGGACTTGACCTAGATTTATGTGGCTGGTGTCGTCGGTAGAGCAGAAGACGCTTACCCTTCCGGAAAACCTGGTCTTATTCTTCCAGTAATTGTTCAAGTGTCTCCATGTTAATCTTTCCTTTGTTCATACTTCCCCCAATTTTAGTGTTCAGTATTCATTTGTAGCTTTTATGTAAAACTTATGTTTGTCGGATAACCTTGCTTGGTGCCAATATAGATCAATAGAATATGAGACTGACATTGAGATCAAGTATTTGCATACCTCACTACACCACAGTTGTTATTTATTTTCCATATTATTCCCAGACAGGCGGGAAAAGAATCGACCTTGTGTCCTTTGACACCCAGAATCTGCAATCGTCAGAAGGAATATATATTTATTTGTGGTGAACTTCATCAATTTTAAAGATATGATTATATCAGACTTATATGAAGCAAGTGATCTAGATTTTTATCTGTCAGCATCTGCAGTTTTCATAAGCCTTGGCTATATGAGTTGAAGGTAAGAAATGAAATACAACACTGGAAATTTGTTCTGACAATGTTGTCTACCAATACAACTCGTCTCTTTTACTTAGCATGACATGATTTATCCTTTCATTATTAATTTTTCATTTATTTATATTTTTCATAATGTTTTTGGGACGATTTATTTTTGTGGAGTTAGGGTGTGTGATATTTTCTTAGCATACCATTAGACAGTTTTGATTATTGATTGCTATACTAGTGTTTCCTTCTTCTAAATTAATTTCGCAGTAAACAAAATATACTTACGTAACTTTACACTCATCACAATACAAGCACCAACCAAGTAAAAGTATATCCGTAGAATAACCGCTGGATCTTGAAAAAAATAAAAACGGTATGAAGGATTGACTGTTCCATTCCCTTCTTATCACAGAGCTGAGACTTTTCAATTATCGGATTTATTTCACTTTATAAAACATTAGACATATTGTATAAGCAATTATTTTAAATTATTTTAAATTCCAAGTTAATAATAGGTTTTGCGCTTAAAACTGCCATACTTATTTCATATCTTTTAATATAGATCTTTTACTCGACCAAAAATACATTTAGTATTAACGAAACACTGCGCATTCCTAACGTATAGTATTTCCTAATTCTTGAAATATTTGTTTGATTTTCTTTATCATGCATTCAATGAGATTTTGCGAATAATATACTAGGATTGTAAAAATGACATTGCAATGAAATCATATTGTGGAATAGTTGCAACATGATTTTTTTGTTTATTGCCTGCTAAATATCTATATATGGCCTCTATTAGGATGTACTCCTCTGAGACGCTAAAAATGTTCCTGTATAAAACAATTAATTTCCTTGCATATGAATACTTAAACACAGAACAATTAAAACAAGGCATTACAAGTGATACAAATCTCGTCGCATTCACACATTGTGTGACATATGTATGAGGAAATGAAAAGAAAATTCAATGATGTATCAGTATTAGCTCTAGTATAGCAACTACATTCTTAGATAGATAATATATTATTTTTCCGTTGAGGAATGAAGTCGATAGAGCGCTAACAAAGCTTTTTCTAAAATAACTTCAAATGACCTTGACTACAACGTAGAAACCAGAAACGAAAACTTGTTCAATGCATTGCCATACCAAACAATTGTATGAAGTTTCATGAAACTCCGTTCCGCAAGTCGCTTGAGCAAAGTTTTTTCTTTCAAATAACAGTGACCTTGCCCTTTTATGTAGAAACCCGTATTGCAAATTTGTTTGAGGTTTTGTTAAACCAAATCATTGTATAAAGTTTCATGAAAACTCCGTTGATGACCTTGACCTTCAACGTAGAAACCCGAAACGTGAACCTGTTCAAGGCATCGCCATAACAAACACTTGTATGGAGTTTCATGAAAATAAAGTCGGCAGAGCGATGACAAAGAGTGTAACATATGTACAACTTTCGTTGCGAGGGGATAGTAACTGTAATATAACCATATTATAAATACCATACAACTCTGTCTTGAACATTTTACACAAACATTAACATAGGCTAGGAAAACAATGTCTTAATCAAGAAAGATGGATGCTTCAATAAATAAACATTTGACATAATTCAAAAAAAAAATTTGAACAAAATTAATAATCAGTTCTTTTAGTTTACTGTGTAAAGTCGTTCACTCCTCGGTAACCCGATATGGTTCCTGTTCCCACTTATCAGCCAATTTGTTTTCCCCTTTGAGACCAACCTTTCTTACAAGGACACGGTCTCCGACTTCTCACGGACTGACCTGTCGTAGCGATTTTTGTTGCGCAAAGCTACTTTAGCAGCCTCAGTACCAGCAACCTTACAGACATATTCCATTCTATCCCTGAGTTTGCTGACGTACGAGGTCTTATCTGCCGCCCCTTGTTGACAAGGGTCTGTTCCAAGGAAGACGTTCACGGACAGGCGAGGATGCCAACCAAACATTAAATAATGTGGGGAGAACCCGGTGGCATCACTCTTCGAGGCATTGTAGGCTTGAACTAGTGGAGCGACATAAGACTTCCAATCCGCTTTTTGGTGTTCCTCGAGGGTAGCAAGCATACCCAGGAGAGTGCAATTAAATCGTTCCGCCGACCCATTTCCCATAGGATGGTAGGGTGTGGTTCTGATCTTTCGAACTCCCGCTATCTTACAGAGCTCCTTTATAACTTTGCTTTCAAATTTTCTACCCTGATCACTATGGAGACGCTCATGAAAGCTGTAATAGGCTATGAATGTGCAAATAGAGCCTTAGCAGTTGTGCGTGCTGTCTGGTTTCGACAAGGCAACGTCTGAGCATACCTGGTAAAGTGATCAGTGATAACCAGAATATTCTCCCAACCACCTTTGGAGGGTTCCAATGTGAGAAAGTCAACACAAACTAACTCCATGGGTCTCGTGGAATGGATTGGTACCAGTTCAGCCTGAGGCTTCACTGGTGTTTTTCATCTTATGCACCGTCCACAGTTTCCAACTATATTGTCTACATCCTTTTCTAGACCTGGCCAGTAAAACCTCTGTCTAGCTAACCAAAGAGATTTCTCCTTACCTTGATGACCTACGTCATCATGGACCCCCCTTTAGGTGTTTTACCTAATGGCTGTCTAGAGAAGCGGTTCTGTAGAGTACACCATCATGTAGACAAAATCTGCTCCAATTCCTCATGAATTTCTGCACATATGGGGACTCATCCTTACGGTTTTTCCCCCGGGATGAAAACCGGTTCTCTTGAGGTCTATAACCCTGGCAATCTCTTTATCTTCCTGTTGTTGCTTTTGCCAATCTATTGTGCTCAAGCTATCGTCTGAGAGTATCTCCTCACTGGCCAAATGAGAACCTATCTCATCCTGATTAGCTATACTGTCAATCAGTAGAGCTACAACAGTTGCTGACTGGCATACTGCCTTGACAACATCAGAGTCACAAAAAGATGTGCGCGAGAGACCGTCTGCATCAGCATTGTTTTTCCCAACTAGCTAGAGCAGCAACCCACCTATGGCTGGTGGCATCCAGCTTAGCTTTACTTAGCACGTGAGGGGATTATTATCCGTAACCACCTCGAATGTGTTACCATACAGGTAGTCATGGAATTTATCAGTCACCGCCCATTTCAGTGCTAAAAATTCAAGCTTATGAGCTGGATAATTGCGCTCACTTGGTCTTAGTCCTCGACTTGCATAAGCTATGACCTGCTCCTTACCCTCATGCTTCTGGTAGAGTACTGCACCCAGTCCAGTACCACTCGCATCAGTATGTACAATAAAGGACTTGGTATAGTCAGCATAAGCAAATATTGGAGGGCTCATTAACCTTTCTTTTACAGTGTCAAACGCTGTCTGTTGAGCCTGTTTGTCGCTTCATCCAAACTCTGGCTAAGAGATAATTTGGATGTATACCGTCCTGATAAAGGGAAAAGTTAACAGTTGGTTTACGACCTGCGCTCTTGTATAAGATCAAATCACACCGAAAGTTCAGTGAGTGTACACCAGACCTGGAATTAATTTCCCTAATATACTGGTTGAGGATTTCAATCCTGCTTTCCAGTACCAAATCCTGTTGCACAAAAGACTCGGGATACACATGTCCCTTAGAACAATTCCAAATCCTTATGGATTATGAATATGGAGGAATTTCCAAGAAATAAGTTTAACAGTAGGGAATTTAGATACAAATGAAACAAATTTGTCAATATTATTTTTTACATAGACAGAAAATTCATCATCAGTGTTATGGCTCAATCCAATAAATCGACCTACTTTGGTCACAAGTACCTAACCAAATATATAATATAATAGAACCATTTCTTTCAATTATCCCTAGTAAATGTCTAACAATCCAAAAATAATTTTGATCCAAACGAGCTCCTGCTCTACAATGAAATACCAAACTGTGGCCAAAATTCTCAATAATATCTATATGATTTCTCAAGGAAAACCCCTTGTTGCTAGTTAATAAAACTGGTTTAGATTTCAGAATCTCAGGTGCAATTATAGGTTTATCAATAAACTTATTAAGTTTACTTACACTCATCCCAAAAAGAATTGGACCATGATTATATATTTAAATACACAATCAGTATATAGATGAAATATTAATCAAAAATATATTCCAGAACAGGTGTACTCTTCCCCTAAATCAAACAAATCTATTTGACATAAAACAAGGACAATCACAAACATATGTACATTACCTTTCTTTCTGGTGATGGGAAAGGGCGTGCGGGGATATGATGATGATGATGAACAGATAAATGAATGATCCGTCTCACATGTGTCCTTTACAGGTCCCTGGTAGTCACGCACATCTATATGTACCTACCCCTAACAAACTAACTCAAACCTAACCTACACAAGTAGCGATACATGAAAGATATGGGAACAGTCACTTTTGGCATCATGGAATACAGGTAAAACGAAAGTCACTGGTATCGATACGTCACCGCAGACAGTCACTGCATATAACCGTTCACAGTTCAGCTTCTGGGCTGCTTCGAAATCTCCGCAATACACGTGAGAGTCACTGCATTCCACCACACCTACAGTGCAGCTCCGAGTCCCTCTCCTCGAGTCTCAGGTACGTTACCGCACCCAGAAAATATCCATATAAATCACAATGCACTAGATCGGCAGCTGCGACCGGAAGTTTATAATCATTACTTCCGCTCTTCCCTCAATTACTTTCACTTATGTCACTCTGGCTTTTATCTGGTTCCACCATTTGCGTTGGGCGCCATTGTAAAGTCGTTCACTCCTCAGTAATAACGAGCACACGATTTTGGTTCATTGGTTTATTACATGTCCAGTGTATAAACCTAAAATACAATATATTAGTATTAAAATATATGAATCGAACTAAGTACGAAACGAACGTTTACAATAAATGCGAAACGGTGTCTATCTACACTATTTAGTTCTACTTTCGCTTTATAAACTTCGACGTTATTATACAGAAGTATCATATTATCTTATATTCTATTGCACTGTGCTATAATGTACATTTTCATATTATTATTACAATGATAATGACTTACCAGAGGCCTGGAAAGGTCCGTCCTGCTCCGATGGCGGCACAGTGCAGAGTGAGGTGGGAAGGTTACGGGTGCGTGTGTATACGACACCAAGGATGGCGTGAGTATTGGAAATACTCGTGCAATCGCATTCGCTCGACCTTACACGTAATTGTTACGAAACGGGTACGATAGACAAGACATACAAGTAAACATGCTGACCTAGGGCATCGAGTACACCCTGTTACAACTGTATGACTTATCATATCTTTTTATTGTTGTCTAATGGGTGCTTATATGAATTAAAAAAATAGTGCAAACTTAAGCTA